CTGAGAGTCTTGCCATATTTCAGGTCAGACAATGCACCATGTAACACGATTTTTGTCCTTGGGTAGCAACTGTTATTTATTATTTGCTTACACCTAGAATCCATGAAAAATAGCTAATATTTCCTTCTAATTTTACTTTTGTTACCAGGATAATGATATTTCTGAAATTGTTTGCATTGGGAAAACTGGCGAATGTAAACATTCTTGTTTCCACAAAGTAGAAACAAAATGATATATGATTCAAAAGTAGCATTTATTTATTCTAGGATTGCACAAGAGAGATGACAAAAAATGTAGAAGTGAGTAATTTTTTGTAATTTATACTTATATTGTAAATTACTTTCATGAATCAGCCCCTAAATATAGTCTTCCATCATGTTTTTGTTATATGATCCTTGGCAGCAGCATTCTAAGTCCAGTATATCCTGCTGGAAGCGTTTGCCAGCTTAAGAAAGAAGTCTTAAAGGTACTTGAAGGCTACAGATTCCTTATTTAGAGCTGTCACCAATTGTTTCATAAGGCCTAATTTTAAGTTCAGTGGAAGAAACAGTACTTTCTGTCGGTCCAGCAGTGGCTCCTATTTGACGTTCCTCCCTAAATTCTGTTCACTGTGGCCTATGCCGTGTGTGGTAGTGTACTGCAGTGTCCCTACTATCCCAAAGGCAAAGATAACATGGAAGCTTAGTAAAGCCGCCTTGGTGACCCATCAGGAAGGCCACCATTTTGAAGCCTCTGATAAACCTCCCAACAGTACTCTTCATATTTCAAGGCTTCTAGCAGGATCTTAACACTGTTGTATTCCTCTTTGAGCTACACTGAGTGAGCCAGGGGAAGAGAGGGATGCATGTTCCCATTATGAAACAGCATAGCACTGAGGCTCCTTTTTGGCTGGGGTAGTATGGGTTTCTCTCCTCAGCTGCAACAGTGTAATCTGGATCAATGACTTCATCTTTTCCTGAATTTCTGTTCTCATCTGAAGATGGCTGTTCTCTTTTTGTATGAGTGGGTACAGAGAGTTCAGAGCAGTGTGATACTCTGATGATGGATGGCAAAAGGTCTGGATATATGATAGCAGGTGCATTCTTGCCATCCTGATGTTTGGAAGGGTCCACCATGCAGAAGAAGCAATTGCTTACATGGTCAGGTGGTTCCCTCCAAATTCATGTGAGTGTGAATTTCATGGCTCTATTTTCCCCTCTACCATCCTGCAAATGAGCAAAATAAAAATATAAGTATAAAAATATAAATATATTTCATCCAGAGTAATTGAAAAATTCTAAAAAAAAAAAAAAATAGATTTTTGATTTTTGAAATTTCTGAAAATTGTGTGCTGGATATGTAAAATACTGAATTTTAGACCCCCAATAATGTAGCAAATGCTGCAAAAATACAGAATCTTGAATACTGAACATCCTTAATATTCTGTATTTTTATGGCTCTTGCCAGCAATCTAGTACAGAAAACATCCATGATACTGTGGACTCTAATGTAGAGTTGTTGAAACATATTTAACACAAATATTTAAAGAAAGAAAAAAAAGTAAAAACAAATATTTAAATTAAAAAAATTCTAAAAATTTTACATTTAAAAATTCCACTCTCCAAACAGGGAAAACTTTCCATCTTACCTTCTAGAGTTCTTTTGCAGAGTTTGTAAGTGAAATCAGGTGGCTAAAGTTTGGCTTGATTCCCTGACAGGCATGTCAAAATATGCCCTATAGGCCTCACATATTCTAGCAGATGTTGCCACAGGGTACTTTTTCACTCTTGTCTTAATAAATTCACTACAGACATAGCAAAATATGTCTGCTGGATGCTTACGACCTCTCGATACCATCTATGACAAATGCATCTATCAATGACAACTTGTTGCAAGAACATTCTAAAAATTCTTGAAAATTCTAGAAAATTCTTCTTCAGCAACTTGGCACTGAATCTGTCTGGAATGTAATTTTTTAAAACTAACCTATTTTCATTTTAAAATATTGATGTCCAGGTGACAAAAGCAAAGTTTGAAGGGAATAATAGTCATTTCATTTGCTTTCTAAACAGTAGCAATTATGAAATAATACTTGTTGACCAAAGACAAAAAAAAGTCAATTTTGTTACAGGGGTATATCATTGCTAAGTGAACTTGGTTAAATGAAGAACAGTATTTAGTTTGGGTGAAAATGAAGTATTGTTTTGAAATCTAAAATGGCAGGAAGAGAAAAAAACAATTTTTTTTTGTTTCTTTTATACAAATGAAATTACTCTTAACTTTTTTGGTTATTATTTTGATCATCCGTAGAATTTAAGAGCAAACTCTGATGCAAATGAAGCTTAAATGAATGTAAATAATGGGATTTCCTTTACTGATAAAAAACTCGGTCACTGAATGTATGAATGAAGAGTTGAAGTGACTTCTCAAGTATTAGTTGTTGATATGTCATTATTTTCTCTACTAAAATTCTCATTTGGTTTATTATTAAATGGTAACTATTTTTATTCCATACCGACTTCATCTATTTTAGTACAATTTTTAAAAAGTATTCCAAAATACATTTTGTTCATTCTATCTAGTCTTTTGCTTTGAAATTCTGCCAGAATTATAACATTTATAGGACATTGTGTGGTTGCCTATCCAATTGGTATTATGTTACATTCTCATAAAAATCATATCTTCATGAATTTACCCAATCTTATTCATAAATATTTGCATTTTTCTTTCTTATAATCTGTTTTTACAACATCAGATGCCTTTCATGTCACATCATCAAATCATTTTGGAGATTCCTTGACTACTATGGAAGTTCATAATACTAGGATTTACATGGTTTCTGATTGATCCTATGCTGAATTATTTTTTACTTAATATTTATATTATGCCTATCAATTTTGCAGATTCAAAGAAAATATTTTTGTTTCTTTTGCTTTCTGTACAATAAGCAACATATCTATTTTTTTCAAACCCCTTTATCAAACCTAATGTATTTCCAATATCAAAAGCTAACCATATTAGTTCCAAGATGTGTATTATTAACATCATAAAATGTTAATATTCACTAAATAAACAACCATTTTTAGATTTTACATTTCTTTTCTCAAAGCTTCTTTAACCTTCTCATGTGCATAATTTTCAAAAAGAAGTTTTCTTTGTTAAAAGAAACTTTATTATTAATTAAACAATAGCAATCAACTTAAAAGATTTTGATGTGAGTGTCTTGTTTTTGTTTTAGGGTTGCATATTGTAGGTCTCAGTGTCTCTCAAGTTGTGTTCAGTATTCATCATTTGGGTTGTATAGTTATCAGTCCTAAATATAACTTATCCAGCTTAGTATACCAAAATTGCTTCAGTAGCTACTTGCTGCCTTTAGAATGCATTTGGCTATCAGTAAATATAATTGTGCTTCAAACATGATTAAGTTTCATGTTACAGAAAAACAGGGAATTAAGAGACAGTCTGAATGTGAAGTGCTTACTATTTTTTTTTTCTTTTTCATCTACTCACATGAACACTGATTGATTATTTTGGGTTCATTACAAACTAGAAACTTGTAAAGTAAATGAGTTGCCCAACTAGGAAAAGGACTTTGTGTTTTATTTATCATCTGAAAATATACCATGTCAATTAAACTGTAAAAGGTACCAAACAAATGAGAAATCTTTAATTAGGTTTCCAGTTCAGACTTTATTCTTATTTTGTTTCTATAACCTATAACTTTAACAAAAGAATAAAAATATTAAATTCAGTTTCAATTTTACAGCTTTTGTAAAGAAACCATTTGTAGATTTATTGATATAATACAGATATTAAACAATTTATTTAGCAAGCTTGGGACCAAAGATAAACTGGAAGTTTGAATTTTCTGAATCAAAGCTTAATATAGACTTAGACAGAATAAATAATGAAAATTAAAAAATGAAATTGATTTTAACAAATACAAATTAATCCATTGAAAAAATATTTCCACTTTATTTATTTATTTATTTTTTAAAGTAATTTTTCATAAATAAATTCAGAAATTAATAAGTCTTGAATGTGTTATTAAATCTCATTAATTAGTTGAATTTCATTCATTTTTTTCAAATATAATATATTTTATGCTGAATATTTTCACTTGATATTCCATTTACATTTTTTTTTGTACAAATATAAAAGCAAATTTCAAAAACAAATAATCCTATTTTTATAATGAGTGAACATTTTTATATCCGAAATTGTTCTTTTTAATGATTTACATTTCATTTCATAAAAAATTGATAAAACTGAAATACTTGATTGAATAGATAATTTTGTCAGGTGTCAATTCTAAGTTGATGGTAATTCCTATAAAGAGGTTAAATAATGAACTACTATGATGCCATTCCTAACGGGCAACTTTTCTGGTGATGCTGTTTTTTTTGTGTGTTTTTTTTTATTAAGGTCATATAAATGAATGGTACTTGTATATATTTATTCAGACTTGTAAAATCCTTAAGAAAAGCTAAAACAACTTTTTATGAATCCATAGATTTCAGTTAAATTTTAATTTGAAATTATAAAAACTATTTTTTGTTTTAATTTTTCAGCTAGCTGTTTATAGAAACAATGATATCATGGGTAGGATTTATTAGACAAATACAGCAAGACTTTCATTGACTTTAATGATTACATTTATAATGAGATGGCAAACAATGGAACAGTAATCATAGTTCTATTTTCATACCACTTGCATTGAATTGGCAAAGTTTCAGTTTTCCTTATCACTGCCCACAGACTCTTTCACATTAGTCATTTTCTGCACTAAAAAACTAAATATTTCTCATGGTAGGGAAAAAACTGACAATTAAAAATTAAATTTTACAGGCAATGTTTGGCACCAAATCTGAAAGTTGTGTATTAAAAATTGCTAAGAAAAGAATTGTTTTGATCTCAAATTAAGCGACATTATTGGCAATAAAGCTATTAGATGTCTAATGTTATTTGAAGCTTTTAGTTTTCTCTCTATGCAATGAGGATGTTCTTTCTGATAATTACAGAATGCTGTAACAGGCCTTTTGACTACCACTCACACCTCTCATGCTTGGGTACGAGACAATGTCTATTGCATCACATCTGTGTGGGGTCTGGCTTTGGCCTACCGTAAAGCAGCAGATCTTGATGAAGATCGATCAAAGGCATTTGAACTGGAACAGGTAAAGTTGAAGCTATAATTTTTTTTCCACTTTCATTTATTTTAAACATAAAGTATAAACAAACTATTTTTTTTTTCATTTCACCTCAACCAAAGTTAATAAAGCCACTAAGATGCAAGAAGTTACTGAATTCAAAAGAATATGAGAAAAATAAAGCATTATTAAGGTGAGAACAATAAAAGAACAGGAATTAAGAGGACAAAAGATAATGATTGACATTGATTTTAGGCAATTCTTTTAAGTTCAGCTACAAATTTGACCTATTTGAATATTTTCAATGTCGCATTTTTTTTTTTTTTTTTTTTGTAACAAAATCCTCAAATTTATTTAGCAAAACGTTTATGTTTCTTGATGAGCCAAAACATTTGGACAAGGGACTTGCAGCAAGAATGACAGTTACCATCTTGTATTAATTGTACACATCAGTGTCACAGGAGTCTAAACAAGTAAGCCAGCCTCAGGTACTTCATTTTAATGTGTCTTCTTATTCCAGTTATAGGCATGAAGGGAGATTTGAGTATCTTGATAAAGACTAAATCATTATGGACAGAAGACTACATCAGAGCATATCTGTAATTGCTTGGCTTGTGGAGTGCTCATATTCCGTTGTGTGGAGTTACCTATCAAAAGTGGTTGGCGGAGGGAGAAATCATTAATCAACAAAAGACACTGGCTGCCTAAGGCTTATTGATATGAGAAGTGAATGGCATTTTTCCCACCAAGTACAAAACTTCAAATCATGTTGCACATCTAAATGATTTATTTTATTTTTTTCAAGCTAATGAGGCACAAATTTATTTTGTGGAAATGCATTTCAGTTTTCAAATCTTCTGTTAAAATTCACTGTCATGAACTCCAGTCACCTTAAATGTTTTGCCAATGGTTCAACAATGATCTGTGGTGAGCTTTTCAAGATTTTCATTTCACCTTGTTAAAGGACAATCAAATCTTGATTGCTCTTTAAGTGACATTTCATCACACCTGAAACATGAATACCACAAAAGCAGTTTCTTTAAAAACTTCTCAAGCCATTGCAATAGGTTCAACTGCAGTTTTCCCCAACCAAAAAAAAAAAACAACTTCATGCACACACTCTATTCTTTTTTATCAGCCATAGTGAATATCACCAAACATTCTTGGAAATCTTCTGGGAGGGGACCAACAAGAACCAAATCAGTCTAACTGCACCATGTTACAAAATGGCTTGGAATTGTGTCTATTTGTGAAGCAGTGCAACTTCATCTAAATTGTGCACCACATTCCCCTCATATCATACTTGTTAATCTAATTTTATTTTAATAAATGAACTTTGACTATTTTCAGCTTTACTCACCACTGTATTGTTAGTAATTAAAACTGAATCAGAGCCAAGAATTTTGTCTGTTCTCTTTCTTGGTTTAGTCTGTGGTGAAGTTGATGCGAGGTCTGCTGCATGCAATGACCCTTCAGTGCCATAAACTTGAGAAATTCAAGAAGACCCAGAACCCAGCTGATGCTCTTCATGCCAAATACAACAGTGAGAATTGCAAGACTGTTGTTGGAGATTTGGAATGGGGTCATCTCCAATTAGATGCCACTTCCCTCTACCTTCTCATGTTAGCCCAAATGACTGCATCTGGTAAGTTGGTAATCTTTCTCTGTATTCAACATTAATTGCATTTCATAGGACAAGGATCTCAGGAAAGTAGATTGAAAAATGTTCTCTTTTTTTTTCTTTTTTTTTTTTTTTAAATATTTTAAATCTCAAGAGATAAACACTGTGTATAGATTATGCATGTAAATTTCAGATAAAAAAACTGATATACAAGTTAAAAATTTAGTATAGTAGTTTTTGTGGAGAATTTGACAATCTTGGATACCAATTCTTTTTTTTTTTTTTTTTTTTTTTTGTTAAGCTCCTTAGGATATGCTGCTTTGTGTAAGTTTAAGTCTTCAGAGACAATTCATCGAAAATTATTATTTTTACCTATAAGATTTTATCCTATTTTTTATATTGTCACACTTTGTTAAAATAGTTTCATTAATAAAAAAATGTTTATTCCAAAATTACTCAAAATTACAAAATTCAGAATAGTATATACATAAATTACTTTGTCAGTAAGCCAATAAATAAATTGATGTATTTTCAATACATCTTTAAAACAGAAATTAATTGAATTGAAATTTCCTTTTATTTAGGTTTAAAAATCATCTATTCTCTGGATGAAGTGGCATTTATACAAAACTTGGTTTTTTATATCCAAGCTTCTTATCGCATTCCTGTAAGTATCTGGCTTTTATTTTTTTTACTTTTTTCAATTTCCAAAGATTTGTTTATTTTCTTTGAAATAGAAAATTGTTAGTTAAATATGACTTCAGACTCTAACTATGCAAAATATTTATGCATAAATTTAACATGTCATCATTTCTGAAACTATTACATATTTTCCCTTTTCAATCTATTTCACTATATTTACATATTTTGAGCAATATATCTATTACCACTTATTTTTTTATTTTTTAAAATTTTATTTTGCTTTTCTTTTCAGGATTATGGTATTTGGGAACGTGGGGATAAGACTAACCATGGCCTGCCGGAACTTAATTCCAGCTCTATTGGTATGGCCAAGGTAAAAGTTTTTTCATTGTCTAACTATATATGGTCATGAGAACTGTAAAACTATCTGTTGTTGAAAACCTGGAATACATATAATATCAATCATTATATATAAAATCTTCCTTTTAATCTTTTTATGTTGCCACAAACATGGGTAACAAGTAAAATAAAAAAAAAATTGAGGACACAGTATCAAAATCTATTAGAAAATTAATACTTCATGTGCAACTTTCTAAAATTGATAAATTTTCTTTTTTTGTCTGTCATCAGATAACTCAAGGATGGCTGAATTTATTGAACCTTGAACAATGTTCTGAGCATATTAATTTTTACAAATGTAAAAAATTTAAATATTTTAGCACATGGTTCAATTAGGTACCTCCTAAAAACTTTCAGAAAAAGAGCATATGATGATGAAAAAAGGCTCCAAACTAAAATTTTATCATGAAAATACTTGTTAAGAGTTAAGAGACCAAAGTATTTTTTTATTAATTTATGAATTTTTTTAATCCTTATGTCAACATTCGAGATTTTGGTTAAATATTAAATATCTTCTTTGATTAAATACCTTGTTTTTCTTAGTCAGCAGCTGGGCTAAACATTATTATAGGAAATTTTGCATCTTTTTTTGTGGTAAAAAAACACATTGTTTTGGAAATTTTTGCAAAAATCAAATAATTGTCCAATTTTAATGAAAATTTCAGGACTTGTTCAGGAATGAATGAATTTTTTTTTAAGAAAATCTTGGTAAAAATATTTTTTTTACATTTGTTACCTCCACTTAATTTTATGAAATTTTGAGAAATTAAAATTTCAGGCTCTTTGTATTTATATAAGTCAAAAGTAGGGCTCCTTGGAGAATTTAAATTATCATTTTGTTTTTGTTAAACAGAAGCATCATTTACTGAAAATCTGCTCTGAATTGTAAAATAAAAAATGCAATAAAACTATGACATTAAATTGCTTTTATAAATAAGATATATTAAGGACATAAAATAATAATTTATAAATAAGATATATTAAGGACATTATTATCTTTTAAGAAAAAAATTTCATTTAATAATGAACATTTTTACAAGAATTGTTTTCATTTTTTTTTAATTAGAAATTAATTTTTTAAAAAAAAATCTTTTATAATTATGCATTCAGATATTTAGATGATGATATTATTATTATTATTATTATTAAATGAAAACTATATTTACTAATCATAAATGGAAAAGCTTAATACAAATCATCAAATACCAATGTTTTAAAAAGAATTGTGAATTTTTTTTATGTATATAAACATGCTCATTTTTTATAAGTACAGGTGACCATACACAAGACAACAGAAAATAGCAATGACTATAATAAATTTAAAGTCAACATTTCTAAAATTTAATAAAGCATTAGGTTACAGAGAATATTTTCCTAAATTTTTAAGGTTACTGAGGACTTAAAAATTATATAAAAAAGGTGCTCATTTCATTTTCTTAAATTATGTTTTAAGATAAATTCCGCATAAAACAACATTAAACCTATCAACATGTCAAAACAGCTACTGTTGGGTTAAAAATACAGCTAGAGTTAGGCTTCAAAATGCATTTCTGTGATATTTTAAACTTAAAAGTAAATAATATTTGTTTCAAATCAGATTAATTATACTCTAAATCAGCTGATATTCCTCAAATAAAGTTTCAGAAAAGCATATTTTATTTTTGGAGGATTTCTTTAATAAAACAATTACATTGTGATGAAAGATGAATAAAAAAGGGTGCTAATCAGCTATTTTAACAACAAAAAAAAACTCCTTCCAGGCAATTTAAATTATTTTTTACAGAAAAGAAAACTACAAAAGTTCATTTAAACCTTTATTTTTTTTTAAGCATGGTAGACAGATACCTAGGTTCAAAAAATGTGTGTGTGTGTACACATGTCTATCATCAAACCAATCAAAAACGAAGTATAGAAAGATTCAAAAAGCTTGACAACGAAATCCTGCTCTAATAGCTATTCAGATCTTTAAATACGTGTAATATTAAAATTAATTTATACTAACTAATAATTATAAATTTACATGATAAAATTTAATATTAAAATTAAAAACTGGCAATTTTATAAATCCAAATTTAATCACTATTAATTTTAAAAACTACAAAATTATTGAGAAAAGAAAAAATATATATGTTTATTCAATTCATTTCTTCATTGAAATTACGTTTGACAAGACAAGACGCTATAATACATCCGGTCATTTGATAATACATGTATATATATCTTTCTTTTTCACTTTCTTTTCCGTTTTTATTTTAAAGTTTGTGAATATGGTCTTAAACTTACGCGTGACACAACAAAAACACAATCAGATTATAATACATAAGCATCCAGACATAATTAGATACACACACACACACACACACACACACACACACACACACACACACAAAAAAAAAAAAAAAAAAAAAAAAAAAAAAGGAGAGGTGGGGGGAATAAATGAACATCTCTACAGCCCTTTATGAAAAAAGGAGACGTGGAAACTAACACTTATACACACACAGATAAATGTGAATACACTCTACATACACATAGACACCGATATATACACATACATACATCTACAGACAATGGCATAGACATTGAGAAATCACAACCAGTAAATATTTCAGACTTAAATAAATGCTAACCACTTATTGAATTATAACTTAAGGGAGCAAATATACAAAGATAAAAATGTTTAAAATAATATTATTTAATATATTAAAACGAAAATTCTAAAACCATAAATATCAATAAAAATATATATATTATTAATCATATAAGTTGATAATAGTTTCATTATATATTTGGCAAAGAAAAACAGGATAAAGAAATCCACAAATATATACATATATATATATATACACGGCAGCAAAAACAAATTAACACACATAAATATATACTCATACATACATATACATACAGAAATACATACAAATAAATATATAAATATAAAAACATATACGTACATATACATATCTATGATAACAAGTACACATGTACGCACATATACATATAAACCTAAATACACATACATATATACACATAGACTTTTATGCACACATACTTAGATATATAAAAAAAAAAAAAAAAAACGTCATGATATACCAAAGTTTCCATACCCACACATACACATAAACAAACTCATACATAATAGGTGCCAATACACACACATATATATATACATACACAAACATACATAAATATATATACACACATACATACATATCTACAAATAAACATATATATATAAATAAATATATCTATCTACAATAACAACTACCCATATATACATGCATACATAAAATACAACAACATTTAACCAAATACATACTAAACGAACTAACATATAGATACATAAATATACCTTCAAACACCAACACACAGCAATATACATATAGTCTAACATACAAATATATAAACACATTCATACAAACAGAAATATACTTAAATATAAATACACATACACAATAAAATAGGACATACAGATATATATATATATATATATATGCACACATATATATATATATATATACACACACACATACACACATACATATATATATATATATAAAATATATCGTGGCACAAAGCCGAAATTAGGGGCACCTAGTGAGGAACGAACTCATTCCTCAGTCGCACCTAATCTAGCGAACCATACATACATATATATATAACATATATATATATATATATATATATATATATATATATATATATATCACACACATACATATATATGCATATATATATATATATATATATATATATATATAACCATATACCAATATAATATATATATATATATATATATATATATATATATATATATATATATACATATATATATACACACACATACATATACACACACATAATATATATACACACATACATATATACACATACATTATTAACCTTTTTCTTTATCTATATACCTTCCCACATAATATATATATATACACACACACTCACATATATATACATACATATATATATATATATACATAAAAAAAAAAAAACATAAATATATACACCAACCTACACATTCCTCAGTGCAAATACCTAACCAACAATACATTTATATATAACACTATGCAGGTAAACAATACACACTTATATCATACAAGGATGAACAGTGGACCAAAAAATCTTCCAACAACAATTTTGACATTTCCATGGGTTCTTTGGATTCTGCAAGCTTCGGACTTGGTTGGATTATTTCTTTTATATAATTTAAGTGCCTTGATTGTCTGGATTCAGATAGTGTAGGATTATATAGAGATGATGGATTATTAGTTGTTAAAAACTCAACTAAAATTAAGGTAGACCGTATTAGGAAAATGATCTATAGGGTATTTAAGGATTTAGGTCTTAGGACAATAGTTACTACTAATGTTAGACAAGTAGATTTTCTAGATGTCACCTAGATCTTGCTAACAATATTTTCCAACCATATGTGAAGGTTAATTCAACCCATTATACGTGCATCCTAATTCCAACCATCCCCCTTCGGTTATCAAACATATACCCTCTTCCATTGAATTTAGAATTAGCAACTCTTATAATAAGGAGGTTTTCAATAAACATAGTGATTTTTTTATAATTCTGCACTAAAAAATAGTGGATACAAAAATACCACTATTCAATATAAAAACCCTGTTAATTGCAACCATAATAAAAAGAAGATCTATTATTTGGTTCTCCCCTTTCAATGTTATGGTCAAAAAACTAAGTTAGGGCGTATATTTATAAACCCTAATCAAAAAACATTTCCCCAACCCTGAAACTAACCCACTTAGTAAAATATTTAATCCTAATACCCTTAAATTAAGCTATAGTTGTGCTGATAACCTAGAGCAGATAATTAAAAAACATAACAACATAGTCTTTAACAAGTATAGGAGTTCAAAAGGCTTGACTAATCAACAGGTTACTAACTGTAATACTAATTATAAGAATACAAATAACAACTTATGTAATTGTAGGAATCCG